CCTTTTACATTTACTCCTGCAATCAGAACGTGCATCACAAATATAACAGCTCCGTTCCATGTAGTGAGCTCCGAACTCACGGCTAGATTCTGCACGAATGGATTATTCGCAATCGAATGGCTTTTTTTACGCCATGTCTTCCACCTATTAGCGATTCCTGGTATGGAATCCTCGAATCATGTTCGTCGCTATCCCTTACGAACCTGAGAAAGATCGTGTTATTCCACTTAGGTAAGCGGCATTGCTAGGGAGTTTCGAGAGTCAACTGGAGTTGGAATCTCTAGAGTGAAGTCGGGGGTTTCAAGAAACCTCATCAGTGTACATCTCCAGCTTATAGCTTCGAGATCTCTTATGGGAATAGCTTGAGGTGGGAGCCGAGGTTTAAGAACACTAGGCCGGAATGAACGCTAAAGGCCGTAAGACCCCTTTTCCCTAGCTTCTCCGCCAGGGAGATGCACATGAGCATGTTGGCCGTTTTTGACTGTCCGTACGCTGTCCATTTGTGGTAGACTTCACCATTCTGCACAAGGCTACTATGTTAATTCTATTAATCTCCAAGGCGTTGGCAAGGTCTTACTCGATAGTTGGGGTCATCAAATCTAACTGGGCTGAGCTGATGGCCATTACTAGAGACAGCAACAACACGGGCGTGGAGGACTTCAAGATCTTCCCCATCATAAGATTGGTGAATAGGAAATGACCTTGCCCTTGATATCAGATGCGTGGGCATCAGCAAGGTCGTTTCCGGACTTTAGCTTAGAACTCATGGTGGAAATGGGACGACAGATGGGAAATAGATCAGGAGAGTGGAAGTAAGCGTAAAGGTCCTTTGAATCCTGCCCAGATCTTCAACTGGTAGAGATAGGGTAGGGACTTATATAATAGTGTAGCACACGGCTATTTTGGCCGATTGTAGGTGATGTAAGCAGTCTCCCTATCCAACTCCCTTGTTTATGATTCGTCAGGTCTGGTTGGTCTAGTCGCCGGAATGAATACTGCTCAACTCAATCCGGAGGCCGAAAGATGTAGGTAGTTCTTAACTAGAGAATATATAAAACAGAACGTCTGGGATGAGAAAAAGGGGATAACACCCTACTCCGAAGAAGACGACAGACGGAACATCCATCAATTACATATCATGTCAACTCCAGGGTGCACTTAATCAACTCAAGAAGCGGTAAGCAGCGCAGATGGGAAGCAGAAGTTGTTAATTAAGAGATTACATGGGAAGGTTAGAGCCAGATGATTCGCACATCAGCGGAAGTACTAGTCACAGTGCGTGGACTCTCGTGGGCCATTGGTCTTGATGGAATTATAGCGGTTCAAGCCCCTGAATCTCCTCACCTAATTGATGTAAGACGAGTAAGAAGAGCAAGTACAAATACAGTGCGAACATAACGTCATCACACGCTATACTGTAACCAGTACCTGTGCGAGACTGTTAGTTTCCATCGTCCAACTGAAAATGTCCCGGTAGGAGAGCTTGGGTGCACATCTACGTTCGACTACTTCGGCAGTACGACCAAGTATAAGACCAATGAAGAAGACGGTGGGTGGGCATAACTCAATAATTTATCAAAGTGTTACACACACTATCTTATTCAATTAATAACCTACATTTTCCAACAAACTTCTTCATCATGTCTGAAATTCTTGCCGTTTTTGGGGACACCGGCCCGAAGGCCCGTTCAGTCGTCAGTCACGTCCTTGACGACCCTATACCCCCGGTTACTCGGGAAGCATCCTCTTCAGCTTGAGTGAGGGGACTCAGACATAGTCATGTTTCCTCGCTGGAATGGCCGGAATCTTCGCAGGATGTATCATAAACGGGATTTATAGGAGAATCTGGCTTGTAACTTAGACGCCTTCACATACGCACATGGAATATCATTTACTCATATTAGTAAGCAGTTTTTCATGAGTCTTCGACGGTCCCCTATTTTCTCCCACGACTACGTCTTGGTATATCAGCAGTCTGACGTATGTTCAGGTAGCGGATCAAGGAACATGGCGCGATACTCCGCCGCCATCAGGCCTGCCTTCAAGGCACTTTCGTGATCGCCAAGGAGAATACGGTAGTACTTGAGACGGTCGTAACTGATAAACAAGCTAATCAGCACATAAATCACAATGATGACGACTATGAGCATGTTTACTAACCCTCTAACGAGTTCACTCCCTAGCAGGCGCTCTGCTATTAGTAAGTCGATATATTCCGACGCGAATTCCGCAGCGGCCGAGTGATCCTTAATGCGGCGATCAGCGGGCAGTGTGGAGTCATCTATCTTGACGTTGCCAGCGTAGACCTCAAACAGCATGTCCAGCTCCACCATCCGCTCTCGCCGCTCGTTCGAGGCTTCCTTGTCGGGTCCGTCGCAGGCTTCGCAGCGACACTCGAAGCCGTAATGTTCAAGCTGGGCCGCGCGGGTGCGATGGGGTAACTGGGCGATTGTATACGAGATGGTTATCTCCTCGTCCTCCGCGATGTCTTGGATGGCAGTGACCCACATAGTCATGCTGCCGCCATCGAAATTCCAGTTGGTGTTAGGGACACACGAATGGTTTATCCGTGTATACGTGAGGAAGACCCCGCTACCATGGAGTTCGTTAGGAAGTAAGATTTCGGCGTTGTTCACATACCATATCGACACTATTGACGGATAAAATTAGTAAAGAAAAGAAAAGAAAAGGTTGGAATTGCTGTATCGTGGAAGCCAGGTGCTCAATGCGTATGGGGTTGAACTTGTTCAACTTACTAAGCTTGATTAGGAAGTTAAACTTGGCGTCTAGGTCTTCACTGCTCAGGCCCTCGCTGCGAAGGAATTCCACCATGCGGTCCCAAACCGGTAAGAATTGTCTAGGTATATACGATAGATCGAGGTACTTGGCTTGATCTTCGGGGCTTAGATTCTCGAACTTCAGATACAGGTGCTTCCACCATACGGGAGTGAAATCTTCGTACCCGGTCAGAGATATGAGAGCTTTCTCCTGAATTAGTCTCTCGCCACGCAGGATGGCCCGGGTTGCGAATAATCCAAGACCTTTTTCGGGGGATTCCCGCATCTCAAGCATCTTGGTAGTTCGGTATGGTATTAGCAAAGAGAGAGCCAAGTAGTTATGCAGCTGTTTTAGTGCGCAATAAGAGAACGAATAGCTTTTTGGCCACGCCCAGGGTATGGCAATTAAAATGAGTTGTTAGGAAGGCAAAGACAACACAACCACCGTGAGTAATCTGGTGATTGCTTTGTGTTTAATAAGATGTGTTATTAGCATCAACAAACAGAGGTATGTTTTCTTCAGGCTTGAGGGTGTTGTGCAGTGTAAAGGGGCAAAAAGCAGGGCTCTCAAGTTGAAAATGGGTAAAATGAAGCTATGGACTATGATGACGTCGACGGGGACAACAGTGACTTGAGATGATAGAGCGACTGACAATACTATGACACCTTACTAAGTACCTTAAGAGGTAGATAGATTTATCGAAGTGGCCTGGTTAGTTTTGATTATATTAGCATTACAATAACTCGCAAGGTCTAAGTACTCCAAGTTATGTCCTTAACTCACAACCGTGGCTAGAAGGCACTCAAACACGTCAACTTTAAAAGTTCTAGTAATTCAACTAACTATCCTTTAGTTACCGGAACTGTAGAGTTGCGACAAAGGTCTAGAATAGAGATCTGCTTCTAAGAATGATCACCTGGGAAGTCACAAAATGAATTGGGCAAATACTGGATATAACGACTACGATCCAAGACCCTGTGCTCGCTGCCGTCGTCTTCTTGCAAGACCCAAGGAAACTCATCCATACTATCCTTGTAGCGAGTTTGCATCTGCTCTCCTGGCTGCCACTTAATGAGAAAGTCAAGCCAGGTTTGTATGCAAAATGCCATCTTGCATCCTGACACAGAAAACAAAAACTGTCGAACTCCAGGAAATTGACGCAGGTTCCGTACACTTCGAACAATTGTTTCAAATCTGTCTTTAGGCTCCAGAATTGAATAAAATGCGACAGTCATATCTTCCTTTGTTTCGGTCCGATGTATCTCAAGAACACTTACGATTTGCGGCTCATAGCGCTCTGCTAGAGAGGAAATGTATAGTGGGAACACTGTGTCTTCTAACGCAATTCTGTCCAATCCGAAATAGTAGCTCCGATAGAATTTCAAGTGCAATTTTACTGTGGACTAGCATCGAAATGGATTGGTGACAAAAATATTGTGCTTTGAGCTAAGGTATAGGTTGCCGTCTTTAGAATCTTCCGGGGCCTGGACCTTGGGAGGACTTGTTAACATGCGAATAACCCATAGTTTTATGTCCAAAAATTTGATAGACTCAATGATAAGAAGGGTGACACGAGATGCTTAGTGGGTACAACTCTAGAAGCACGAATATCGTAAAACACTATACGCTGTGAAGCTTCGTTAATCAATGCCTGCTCCTAGACAAGAAGTCGTAGCTCAGGGGGTAGATTGCCAAACCAAGCTCATACCATGATGGACCTTTCGATGTAATTTAGACGTGACATTATGCTGGGCAAATTGGAGGTATCATGTAGTTTCTACTTAGCACGATCGTGTTTCCTGAAGCAAGAATGACTAAAGGCAAGCGTTCATCGTTCATGAACACCAAAAAGCACGATGCGATTATTCAAATATCGTCCAGTCCGAAAATATCCGCATTGACTTACCCGTTTGAGAAGGACGTGGCCGACTCTTTATTTTGGATGCGCAAGCCTTTGACTTGTTGTTTCGCAGAGACTTACCATAATACCGCAATGAAACATATAGCCAAGTCCTTTGCAAGATTCATTGCTATGTGAACCCCATGTCGCATTGGGATTGAAAAAAAGAGGCGATAAATATTGTGTCTACGGAATAACGTGAATGTGATTGGAGATCGGAGATTAGGGGCAGAGTTTAGCTAGACTGCCGCTAAGGGTAGGGGTCTTTTATACCTAACCAGTGCTCACAATGGTCAACAAAAGGTCGCCATGCGACTACGAGGGCCGGTTGGCGAAATGGTATCGCGTCACTTTCCGGTACATCTGGAGTATGGTGAAGATTGCGGGTTCGAGTCCCGTGCTGGTCGCAATTCGGCGTTTGTTTTTGGATAGATTCTCTCACATCAGCCAGCTTTTCCTTTTGTAAAGGATTATTCTTAAATTAACTAAAGTACATAACCTATCCAATCCATCTACTTCTATCCCCTTATTAAATCTGAGATGTTAGGTATTATTTGGGATCCATCTTGCGTTTACCCCGCCCCCATCGTTCCATGGCTTCTAATGCTTAGTTAGCTTGGCGGTGCTGACTTGATAAATAAATATCTATGAACCATACGGTATTAGCTACTCATTACCGATATTTACATTCCCTACAAATTCCAATCGGACAACGATTATGTTAATGTTTGTTTATATTGAATATTTAGTTGCTAAGCTCCATTTCTGCTCAAGTTGCCACCAACTAATGTACTACCTATTACTTTGTAGCTACCTAGGTACCTAGGTAGCTTAGGTAGCCTTTGATAAGACTGAATCCGCACCACCTGATTGTTTGTTTATCCCTTAATAAATCAGTAACTGATGATTTTGCCGTGAGCGCTCTACGCTAATGCCTATCTATGTATGTGCTGCGACAGTGACATAATATAATAACCCGGGCGATTGCCCAGCAAGCAAGCAAGCAAAGCACACATAGTGTATGCTCTCAACCTATATAGAGAGGGCGGGCGAATTACTTCCCCCCCCTGGAGCATTACCAAATCCCAGAAATTGCTAGTGTTAGACCGGCATCCCGTTTTCCATGGTCTTCTTGCCTTTAGAGTCGTAGGTCGTGACGCTAAAGGCCTCGTAATCGTTGTCGTCCCGCAAGTCATCCTCATTCATCTCCAGGCCGGCCAAGCAGCCCTTACCGACCTTGGGCCAGGCAGGAGGCACCGAATCCGTCGACGACTCCCTAGCGGCCTGGTCATCTGCTGCTGCCGTGATTGGTGCTGCTTTCGAGTTCCCCTTGCCGATGCTGCCTAGTAAGTGCGAATCCGGCGTCGATACCTTGCTAGAATAGTGCGCTGGGCCGACGTTGATGCTGGTGCTGCTGTCTACCTTAATGCGCGGACTATCATAGGACGAGCGGCCCCCTTGAGTGCCGCCTCGTCTGGGCTCGTTGATGGGGAAGATGGGGAGATCAGGATGTAGCTCCGTACTGTACATGATGATATTAACTAGCTGCGTATGCGGCACTCCGGATAGATACGATCGTTTCTGGGAGCGTGTTAGAAAACTTAGCATATATAGACGATCGGTATAAAGGGGAGCGGGGGGGCGGAACTCACCTGCTCGGCACTTTTCGCCGCCCAGCTGGCCCCCTTGAATGACTCGACCGTCTTCTTCTTGGCCAGGTGCTTCTCGCGCTTGGCGAGGCAGCGGCTGCAAAACCAGGATCGCGACTCGTCGCTAACGAAGTCGTCGTCGATGTACGGGTCGTGGCACAGCTGGTGCCAGCAGAAGTTGCAGCCGTCGCAGAAGACGATCTGGTTCTTGGCCGGGCTCAGTCCTCGCGTGCATACCTTGCACAGCGCCTGCTCCGGCGTCCGCTTGCCGTAGTGTTTTCGCTTCTGGGAGGAGGCGTCTCGCGCCGACTGTAGAGAGGGGTTATACTGCGATGGCTTCTGCACCTGGCGGCCGGACTTTGTCATAGTGGGTACGGCCTGGGTCTCCTTGGTTACATCGACGGTAGCAGCGCCGACAGTAGCCCCTTCGCTGTCGGACAGTTCGCTCATGCTCGATAGTGCGTCGTCTTCTTCGTCGTCCTGACCACGCTTACGCTTGGTGCCACGTTGTGCCTTGGTCTTGGCCTTCGGAGCTGGTGCCTTCTGGGTTGACGGCTTGACTACTGCCATGTTCTTTACTGGGGCTGGTGTTCTCAATTGAAATGCGTCATTAAGAGGCATTCGTAATGCGGAAGCGCTTGTCGAAGGGGTTTGCGTGTTTGCAGCTGCGTTTGTCGAAGGTGGAAGCGGCATTGGCATTGGCATGGTAAGGGATGTGTTCATCTTCATGACCAGGCGTCTCCTAGTGTCTTCATAGATCGACTTCTCTATACTGCCCTTTGCGACTGCGACGGAGGAGGCAGAGGAAAGCGCGGATGACAAACCAGCCTTAGATTTGACCCGGTCAAGAATCATCTGCGTGGTTGCTGTGAATTGCTGCGTGTACGGGGTCCGGCCGCTCGAGCTGGTGGTACTAGGGGCCGGACTCGATGCCCGGAGATTTGACGGCGTCGGGAGTTGCGCCAAGGATTGCGCCGTCTGTAATGCCGGCGCTGCACCTTCGGCGGGTCCTGCAGACGTGTCGCCATCCTTCCCCTTACCAGAGTCCATTGTAGAGTATTTGGTTAAAGATGCGGAAGAAGTGGAATTCTCCGATTGTTGTTGGTACCGCCCTCCTTACATAACTGGCGCCGTACTGTGCTGGATATAAGTCGGACGATGTCGGTGTTATCTGCCGCAGCAGTGAATCGACGTAATTATAACAACTTCGCAGAAAGCGCCTTTGCAAGTGAATTTACCACAAAGCTCTTTCCATCTCGATTAAAAGATGCAAAGATGGTTAATTGACACCGAAAGGTTGAAATTCGAGTGTGGAGGTCACTCCACGTGATTTTCACGTGATTGTGTGTTGTTCCGGAAGCTCCTGCCCGAAGTTGCCCAGTGACCAAACTGTCGGATCATAGCGAGTCTAGTCCTACTTCGGTTATTTCCAGTCTAACACTCGAACAAACCTCGAACAAACCTCGGTGCGTCATCTCGGCTCACTAGTCATTATACCAAACATGGAAAGGGGTTCCCCATAGTAAGACTGTTAGCTCAATGGAATTGTATTTATTTATCGGGATGGAGTAGGTAGGTAGGCAGGTATCAACGGCAGGCATTGCTATTGTTATACCCATTATATCTAATTCTCCTACCTGACAGCCCCTTTCTCTTTTAATGTGGCTACCTCGCTAGCTTCTAGACCAAGGACCTCTACTAGAACTTCATCCGTATGCTGACCGAGTGTTGGGGGTGCAGTTCGGATGCTAGGTTTACTCTCGCTGTATTTAACCGGAGTGTTGACAAGCTTGATCGGGCCGCACTGCTCATGCTCCAACTTGACCACCATATTCCGCGCCTTAGAATGTTCATGATTCAGTGTACCCTGGACGTCGTTGACCGCTGCGTATGGCATGCCTTTGCCCTCGAAAACCTCCAACCACTCCTGCGTCGTCTTCTGGATGCTGATTTTTTCGATCTTGTCCTCGAGTTCGACACGATTGGCAACCCGCTGGGAGTTTATACTGTATTTCGGATCCGTCTTCCATTCCGGCCGACCTAAGCCATCGCACAAAATTCCGAACAACCGGTCATTACCGCCGCCGAATAGGATGTCGCCATCTTTAGTCTTGAATGACTTGTACGGAACTATCGAGGCTGCGAGATCATTAGCTAGAGCAACGAGAGAACCACGTTACTCTACTTACGATGAGCTGTGCCCCATCGACCAGAATCCTTCTTCCCGCTGATAAGACAGCTACTAGCAATATTAGCAAGCGTGGCGGTCTGGCAGTCACTGAGAGCCACATCGATATGTTGACCGCGACCAGTCTTTGCCCGAGACAGGAGCGCAGCCATGATGCTGTTACTCGTGTAGAGTCCCGTGGTCAGGTCCGTGACAGCAACACCGACTTTTACCGGGGGGCCGTCCCGGTTGCCGGTGATGTGCATGAGGCCGAACTCCGCTTCAACCATGACGTCGTACCCGGCGCGCTGCGAGTACGGTCCGGTTTGGCCATATCCGGTTATCGATGCGTAAATCAGACCCGGATTAATTTTATGCAGTGTCTCAAAGTCCATCCCATACTTCTTCAAAGTGCCAGGCAGATAGTTTTCGACGAGAATATCGCATTTTGCTGCTAACTTGTGCAGGATTTCCACGCCCTCGGCATGTTGAAATGACAGACCCAACGATTTCTTATTGCGATTCACCTGGCTAAGATTAACATCGTCTACGTATGACGGCGAACTGATGCAGTGTAATTACACTTAGGTAGTACGCGGATTCGCCCGGTCCTTCTACATCGGACCCGTCTTTATATGTTGCGTAGGGCGGACCCCACGCGCGCGTGTCGTCTCCACGCGTGGGATGCTCAATCTTGATGACTTCTGCTCTTGGAATGAATATTAGCTGATGTGTCCCTCACGTCAACGAGGCAACAAAATCTATACCCCAGATCACCGAGAATTTGTGTACAATATGGCTACGACGCATACATAATAAGCAAGTGTGTACGTGGTTATGGTAGATGGAATGCTTCGCTACATACGCCGGCTAGGACCCTAGTCATGTCCAGTACACGATATCCCGCCAATGGAAGAGATCCTTGGTCACTGACGGCAGAATATCGTCGTCGCACAAGACCAACTTGATATCCATTCCGAAGGAACCTTGTCCCATTTGTGACACGGGCCACCGTGCGGCCGAACATGGTGATCTGGTTGGCAGCGATCGATTGCCGATTAATGAACTGGGAGGCTGTGTCCGCCGGCACCCGAAATCCCCTGGGCGATGCAACGGTTTGCAGGCTGATACTGACAGGCTCTCTGGAATAAGTCAACCTTGGTCGGGTGGAACTGATGACGACAGTCGTGGTGATACTCGCGGGTCTCTCGCGATCTTGGAACGAAGGAATATTTAAGACGTATTGCCGCGGTCCGCCATGAACGGTGGAGTTCTCTGACCTACCTGGTTAGGTAACCTTAACAGCGAATACCGGCCGCTAGGTATTCCCCATTAATTGGAGTTTTACCCCACAGCCCCCATGAGTGCTGCACATACTATGTACATACATGTAAAGGTTAAGTCTGTCTCGCGATCTCCTCTCCCGTATACCTGATGCACAGGGATAGACGGGTAGACCCGACACCCGAGGAATCAGAGACAGAGACGAAGATGGTAACACAGGCAGAAGCACCACAGAATTGAAGTCCGGATTTATTAGGCCAGGTAGGCCGCTGTTCGCCGAATCTAGCCAGTAAGGGATACGATTGGC